TCCTCCACTAGGAATGCGGATATTGACCTGGAACATCGTGAGTTCTCCTTGTCTTGCTTGCGTATCGGACTTGACACAAGTCTGGTCAGAATGGAATCCGAACGATACCCCAATACCACCCGTAGGCGCTGATTTTTTCATGTCGCTCCACAGTGCTGATTGTCGACGAACGAAGATGGAACACGATGAAAACGCACGATGATATCCTTAATCTCCTCCAGGCCGATATAATCTGCTTTCAAGGTACTTTCCTACGTTCAAAACGCGTCGATATTGATCATGGTGGCACGATAGAAATGAAGTCCTCGCGGCAGAATCTCCCCAAAGCCGTCGGGGTGCCACCGTCCTACAACTCGTTCTTCTCATTCCCACTGCAAAAGAGCGGATACTCCGGTGTAGCAGTGTACACGCGCACAGAGGCTGTCGTCCCATGCAAAGCCGAGGAGGGATTGACCGGCTTGCTGCAGCCGAAGCCACCATTATCATCTGCAGAGCGCGTGTCCACGCGCGAGGCATACCCCGACGAGACCATGGCAGACGCGGGCGCGGATCTTGACTTTCGCAACCTCGACAGCGAGGGCCGTGCGCTCGTGGTCGACTTCGGCTTGTTTGTGCTCGTCAATGTGTACTGCCCCAACGACGGCACGGAGACCGAGGAGCGGCTGCAATACAAGATGGATTTCCATCGCATGCTCGAGGCGCGGGTGAAGGGCCTTGTCGAGGTCGAGAAGCGCGAGGTCGTGGTCGTGGGCGATTTGAATGCGTGCGCGGCCGTGATAGACCATGCGGAGGGGAACCTGATGGTCACGCGCGGGCAGGCGGAGGGCATGGAGGGCGAGGACGGCTTCTGGGCCCGCGATGTCCGGCGCTGGCTCCGTAGCTGGCTGATCTCGGACGACGAGGGGAACAAAGGCTGCCTCGTTGACGTCGTGCGGCGCTTCTGGCCTGATCGAAAGGGCATGTACACCTGTGCGTCCATCCCATCAAGTGTATTCCACTTCCATTCACGATTAATTATGTGAGTTTCAGGCTGGAACACCAAGATCTCAGCTCGCGAATCCAACTACGGGACGCGCATCGATTACATCCTTGTCACCCCCGGCCTACTCCCGTGGATCAAGGCGGCGGACATTCAGCCCGAGATCAAGGGGAGCGACCACTGTCCAATGTGCATTGATCTCCGTGACGAGATTGTCGACAAGAACGGTGGCGTACTTAAGCTACGGGATTCTTTGGGATCCAGGACAGTCGGCGCGGAGCCGCCTCGAATCGCTGCCAAGTTCTGGGACGAGTACAAGCAGAGGCTTTTGGACACGTTCTTTGGGAAAAAGGCCGATCTCAGCACTAAACCGACCCCCTCACAGCTAACGCAGCCAAACTCGGATCCGCGCTCGGCAATAGTGGACTCCGTAGACGCTGAGATGCTTGTGGTGCCATCGATGACGGCGACAGCGGTTTCATCTCCAACCCAACCGCCCGAGGATCGGCAGTCTTCGAGGAGCCAAGCGTCAAGCTCATCCCCGGCGTCGTCCTCGGCTCCTGCGAAACGAAAGCGAAATCCTCAGGAGCCGGTCGCTTCTTCATCAAAAAAGCCGAAGAAAGATGTCTCTAAACCCGCAATAGCTGGACAAACGAATCTCGCATCCTTCTTTTCCAAACCCGATCCCTCTTCGTCAAAGTCTGACACATCGAAACCTAAACTGTCGGCGGCCGATCTGCTAGACGCTGACTATAAGCTCGCGCTATCGTTATCCCAGGAGTCTTCGCCTCCACGGGCGAGTGGCAGCCAGAGCAACGGCGAGAGCAAGAAAGCGTGGACTACACTGCTTGCGCCGGTGAAGCCGCCGCTGTGCGAGGTTCACGGCGAGCCGACGAAGGAGTTGACCGTCAATAAACCCGGTCCGAACAAGGGCAAGAATTTCTTCATTTGCGCGAGGTGCGATCCTCGCCCGTCGATTCACTCGTCATGCATTGATCCCCAATTACAGACCTGTGGGGCCTGGGTACGATAAAGGGAAGACAGAACGGCGGAGGGAAGAAGTCGATCCGGCTTGGAAGTGCGATTTCTTCAAGTGGACGAGCGATGTTAGGTTGGAGATGACGAGGAAGCGAAGCGCTGGGGGATTTGGATAAGTAAGGCAAGTGTTTCACCCGCGTCTCTGTTGCCCTTCTTCGCTTAACTTTGAGGTCATTACAGGTAACCGACCATATATAGCAGTCGGCGTTGTGCCTGTGTATCAGAACGCGTGTTGAAGGGCTTCGGTGCTTCATCTCCTTAAGCTTTGCGATCCCCGCGGTACGTACCCCGGTGCGGATCTTCTCGGAGGATCCAAGGATCGTTAGGCCCACGAAGCTCGGCGCTCGGTCCGACGCTCCCGCGTTTGCACAGTAGTGTCGCGCCACCAGCCTCCAAGAAATGTCAGAGTTGAGCCACCTGCCGCGCTTTTGTATGCAAAAGAGCTGATAACGTCGTTTTACCCTGCACGTTGAACGTCGGCGGACGTACTTGACAATTGATCAACTTAGCTAGCTGGCGCGGTATCAATGCAGTTCAGACGCCCACCTGCAAGAAGATGATACATGCGCGAAGTGCTTTAGACCCCGATCTGGCTACGGCGAACGGGGCCGTCCTCACCGATCAGCACTGGATCTACACAAGAACTTATAAGACCAGAGCGCTCTCGCCTCTCTTCCGACCACGGCGGGTTTGCCCTTTTTTCGCTGCCAGCCATGCTAGATTGTCTCCCCGTGGAACTTATCCTTCTCATTCTGCAGGGTGCTTCCCTCTCAGATATCTTGAACGTGTCAAGGGTGAGCCAAATTCTTCAGAACAATTCCGTTTGAGTTATAACATGTCCAGACCTCGTCCTATTTTCGACGCATTTCTTTCACCAACCGGCAACTTTGGATTGACGCGTCTGACTCGTATAGAATAAGTCTCCCACTGGGTGAGACGCTCAAAACCACCGACGTGTCTCTCCTCCCTCGGTGCACCGCCCGCGGCGTCTCAATTCAATATAAATTCCGACAGCATCACGACCTCGCGAAGCCCGTCGCTCCGATCCGAACATATGAATCAACTCGGCTCTACGACCTTCCATCCTGGGCGTTCTGGTCGCCGTCGAAATATTCTCAGCGCTCCTTCATCGGCCACACTCCGCCGACGGTCATGAACGTCCTCCCCGGCGGGCGCGCCCTTCTTTTTGGCTCACTAGATCGCCTTGGGATATACGATCTCCACGGCGAGTACGGATATGAGCTGGAGGTTCCGTGCTGCACGCGTTTTGATGCTCGTCCCGGAGAAGCCGCCGCAACAATTGACTGGGACAGCATCGATAACGGTGCGCACATCGGGCTTGCCATTATTTCCAAGGCGTACAGTTTTCGACATGATATTGAGAGGTACGCTTGTATCTGTCCTGTTTTGTATTTGGAGCACTGACCCTAGATTCAAACAAGTTATTTGAGCGTGTTCCGAGTAGATTATTCACGCTCGGCCAGATCGCCGTCTGTTCGTAGGACACACGTCTTCACGCTGCCTATCGACGCCGCGGCAGTCTCGATCAAGGGCCCTCTGATTTTGGTTCGCAGCAGCAGCGAAATCATCTTGCTTGATCTTCAGTCAAGCCAGCGCGGCTGGTGGACCCTTCAAGTATGCTTCCCTGTCGTCACCAGCTCAGAAGCTAACCGGTTTGGTCTCTTGGTGCAGGAGGGCGAAATAACGTTAGCTGCTATCGACACCTTCCACCAAAGCATATCCCTTGTCGTCGACTCACGCAGTGACAACTCCCGCTCTCTGCAGACAATTCCCATCCCCGCGTCTATGGAAGCCTTCGGCAACACCAGCAGCCCGTTCTGGACTCCCTACCGCTTTGCACCGCGCACAATCCACGCCCTGCCGGCTCCAAAATTCTCCTTTGCGTATGGGTATCCGACAATCAAGTCCCTCATTGCGGACGAGGGTGGGACGACCTTCCGCGAGGCGATCCTCGCTGTCGACGCACGCACTGCCGTCATCTCCTCTACGCGCATCCGCACCGGACCTGAGCCAGCTGCTCAATTCATAGAAAGCAGCGCACGGACACACAAGGTCGCACAACCGCTCGCGCTCTTCCGCTCATCGCACGACGCGCTGCTCGGAGCCGTCGGGTCAGGCGTGCTGGCGGTGCTGCGCGCCGAAGATGCGAAGTTTTTGACGCTGGAGTTCCCCGCAAAGCTGATGCCGGGCGTGGGCCGCACGGTCGCGTTCGACGATGTTTTTGGGATTGGTGTTGCATTTGCGAGGGGGCGGCTGTTTGTGATGCAATATTGAATACGAGTGGTTGCACTGCTGCATTTAGATTCTTTGATTCTATCGCCAACTGACTTACCAATTGGCACTGTCGAATGAACAAGTAATTGCCGCCACGAGAACGTTGCTGTCGCGGGAAAAGGGCTCCCAGCTTGCACCAGTTTCCGATACAAATTATTCCCTACGCCAGAGTTCAACCACCTCTCTGCCTGTTTTTCAATAGCCTCAATACGGGATGTGCCAACACAAGCGCCAATCTGTATCCAGATGTCTGTCCCGTGAATTCGATAATTGCAATCCAAGCGACACTGCATAGTATATAAGGTGTACATTGCCAGGTGCATCATTCTGATCTCGTCATCTTTCTGCTGAGCGCCGCTTTTATTTTCTATTCAAATTTATTGCCTAGTAAGTCCCCTTCATAGACGGGAGATACCAAACTGACCGTCGTTCATCAGCTCCTTCGCCCTGGTGGCCCATTCTCTTACATAAACCAGCCCCGGAACGCTGCGCATAAACGTACGTTCGGTAGACGCGACCTGCCAATTGCCTGGAAATATTTGTACGGAAGCAGGGGCATTGCATTTATTATTCTCGAATGGGGGTTATAAACGGTTAAAAAAGGAAAAGCTCAAATCAAAAATGCATGGGAACTTGCATGCACTTCGGCAAAAAAATTGGGGAAGACGAAAGCAAAAAGAGACGTCACAGGCCGTGCCCGGAATCGAACCGGGGTCGCCAGAACTCCGAGATGACATCAGAATCTGAAGTGATAACCGCTACACTACACAGCCATGCTGTGCTCACAAATGCAACATTATATGTATCCCGCGCATTCCTTGGAACAATCATCGCGCCGAAGATGCACCGAGCGAGGAGACAGTACCCCAGCCAGCACTTCTATCTCACCGGCCAGCAGCTCTCGTGATGCACCTGCCTGGGTAATTCTCACTTAGTGGAAGTTGTTTTGGTTTCTTTGTTGAGCACAAATCGGGGCCTGCTTTGTCTTGCCTCTAGGAATCTACGGTGGTCTTGTCAATCAGTGTTGTCACTCACCCCGTCTGGTCAGACAGAAACGTCAAGACAAAAGTCAGTAACGGGTCGATCACTGACCTTTCTGCCTTTTGTTGGGTTCTTTCGTTTTTGAAAGAGCATCATGTCATCGATATCCCGCATACTTCGCTGCCGGCGGCAAACCAACGAAGACATCAATTCTCCTTGACCTCTTGTTGACCAAGTCTGACAGGGCCCCTAACACATTGATACACTGATAAGTTACAACTTTCTGACCTTTCTGACCAAATTTTGTCTGACCCCAACAACACTGTTGTCCATATGTGTGTGTCTTTGTTCCAGTGTCCGACAAGCAAACAACAGTCTCTCATAATCCCAGTTGCACTCAATGAACAGCCTGGAAACAATGAGTCAATGCAATCACCAGCGATTGCACCGGGGGCAAAGAGTGACACACCGAACGAAGGATGCTGTCGTAGCACCCGGCACACAGTTATGCAGCATCTGGCGTGACAAGTCAAAGGAACGTACAAAGTGGCTTTCCACCAACAAAGAGCGTACAATGGACAGTCAAAGGAAAGACAAAGGGCACCCGCCAAATCCTGGCAGCCTGAGAATTGGTGGGTGCCTGTCGACAGTCCTTTATCTTTCCTTTGTATACTCTTTGTCCTTGCAAAGGATCATTGACAGGTGACAGGTACCGTGACAATGATGCAGGCAAGCACTCATGTACGGATGCTACGACAGCACCCGTTGTTGGGTGTGTCGCTCTTTGCCCCCAGTGTTGGCAAAACATCATATCACTTAAAATAGACAATCAGCAAAGCCTACGCGCATGAGGATGTAAGCAGAGACACAAAAAATCCTTGTGATAGATGAGGAATGCCTCAAGTGGGAATCGAACCCACATCGTCCTTGGAAACCATTCTACAGGATTATACATATATAATGGCAAGGGTGATCTCTACCGTTGATCTATTGAGGCGACACCAGAGAGTAAGGGCTTAGTTCGTCGTAAGACATGTCACGAGTGCGGGTCACCCACGAGTCACCTCAAGTTTACCCGCCGGTTCAAGTACCTGTGATGGCGGGCTTTCGCAAAAGGCTCCCTGAAGTTCCATTTTTATCCAAGATATCCTGGTACAAAATGGGCCTCCTACTTTAGTCAGATAACTAGTCCGCTTTTGGACCGCCTTTTAGTCTTGATAAAAAGTTCCCAAATCTGGTCTGATTTTTATCAAATAAAAATGGAACTTCAGGCCCCCTTTTATTTGTGCTCCTGCGGTGTGACTGATGTCGATTGCCTCAAGATGTTCTAATCATTTTAATCGAGTTCCCTCCAAACCCTTTTTGTTGACTTGTCCAGGAATGCTGCTTGTGATCAGGTTAGTAAACTCACATAATTGACTGGAGAACAACTGGTCACGTTCTTATGGCCAACCACTATTTTCACACTTTCTTTGGCTCAGAGCAAGAGCTGTAAGGTTGGACACAGGTACACCCGCGGGTATGTTCGAGCCTACCCGCACCCGTACCCGTACACGGGTCGGGTCCGAAACATAGATTTTGGTGGGTGTTGAAAACCCGCGGGTACACGGGTTGGGCACGGGTCTGAAATGACGACCCGTACCCGTACCCGTACGAACCCTCGGGTACAACCCCGTGGGTGTACCCGCTGTTGACGAGGTGATCACGGGCCGTTACGTATCTAGACATTTGTTTGTTGTTTGATACAGGAGTTCTGCTGCTTGTTCCTTACCACGACGGCGTGCTGCCCGCTTCGACTTCAACAGATTTGCAGTCAGAGTTTGCCGACTTGCCATTTCTAGTCGATGGTCCACAGTCAACAACTGGGTCGCCCGCCTGTGGTGCAGCTTTGGGCTCCATGCCATTAACCCCTATCCTTTTCTTGGGCCTCAGAAACCATACTCTTACTCGCTTACACTTCACATCTGGCCAACATATTCACTACTCTCGCTGCTCATCCACCCTCATCTGGGTCCCTTCGCACCTTCGGCATCTTCTACGGGCAAACCAGAATTTTCTTTAGGGGGAGTATAGGGATAGGGGGCAGGCGAGGGAATCCCGAGCCTGCACGGCCCGGAGCGCCTCGGAAGGCATGCAGAGAGTCGAGCAACTCCCCAAGGACGCGCAGGATGTGCATGGTCTGGGGGAGGAGGGGAGGTACCACAATAGAATGACGGATGATAGGGAGGCAGGTATGGGGCTGCGTTGGCTGGGAGGAATTCCCATGGGCTATTGCAATGCCATGTGGGTGCTACCGAACGACCAAGATGTCAGGGTGAGTGCGGGACCGAATACAAGCCTGCGCGATGGCGTCGCAGGGGGGCTTCAAATTCTCGGGTGGCCTGGGTTGGTGAAAGCATTGATGGGAGAGATATTTTACGAGCTCTCGAACATGGTCCCACAAGGACGCTGTGAGGCTGGTGTTGGTGCTACACCCTGCACACCGCCTCATGGCCCCTCCAAACGAAGCTGATGAAGGCACTTGCCGGAACACGCCCGATTAGGAAACACGGATACCGCTGTCGTGCGTATAAATTGTTATACGTGAGGTCCTCCGGAAGCGGCGTCGTTCAGGAGTTTCCCACAAGAATTGAATCCGTTGTCGAAGGTGAGTTTTGGAAGACCTATGAACAAGTCAGTAAGAATTCCAAAGAGGTTAGAGAGGAAGAGAAGAGTAGAATTTAATTGGTCTGATAAGATTCCTGGCCAGGAGATCCTAATGAGAGCGACAATCAAATTGTGAGGGGAGCGAGGCGGTGAATACTATAGGCGTAGGACACCCAAAGTATTGGTCGGAGGCAGAAATGAAATATATGTCAGCAGTGAGTTTGTTCAGAAACAAAGCTCTCGTCAATAACCGTCCGACCAAACCTCCAGGCAGCTACTTGTTCCCAGAAACCAGTCTAAACGCCAGCAAATCTTCATAATCGACACTACCTTCGCAGGCATCACGCCGTGTAGAAGACAAGACGAGGGCGATTTGCATCAGAATCATCACGGATAAATGTGACCGGGCAGCGAGTACCGGCACAGGGATTCTCAAGAGCGCTGATCCGGCAACGATCACGGCCCGAACGTACGGAGTTAGCGGAGTTTCAATTAGCCGATGTGTATATTAGTCGCGGTAACTGTAGTAATCATTATCATTTTTTACCATCATCTCTTCCATCCTCTCGTGCCAGTAAGGCTCGAGGAGGAACTAAGAGACCCCCCACTGTACTTCCCCTTTGCCAGGCAAAGGTTAGGTACTCCGCGCGACAGCGCGACTTATAACTATCGGATCAGAGTTCGATCAGTAGAGCACGTGGCCACGTGCCCGTATCTCTCTCTCTCTCAAAGCGTCCTTTGGGAGTCTTCGGTCACCGAAGGCTCTCCTCTCCCATCTTCCTCTCTGCGCCAGGCGCAGAGTTGGATTGATAAGCCTAGAGAGCCGACCTCAGACGTCTTGGGCGCCGTGAACACCAGACCCGCCAGCTGCGTCGACCACGACGAACTCCATACGTTCTACAAGAAATAGAAGTATTTGCGAGCTCGCCCCAGTCTAGCTACGGGGCGGGGTCACAAAGGTGGACACATTGGGAACGTGTGTCAACCTGGCCGGTCTCGAACACGAAAATCTTGGATCCGCTGAGCGCAGCGAGCTGTTGGAAAACGAAGGTCCTTCCGACTTCAACCAATCCTCGCTCCCCCCAGCGGAATATCAACGACACACCGCTTTGAGTTTTTCTCGAATACCGGTGCATTCTCGAGGCTCCAAAGCGCCTTTGCCGCCTCGGCCTCGTCGAGCTTCGCCGGAGAAGAAGGCTCTCGCGCCATTGCGCCAGTTGCCCTCTGAACGGGAAATTCAGAAAGCTGAATTGGGAAGCACTCAGAAAGGAGCTGCGTCGGTCAAGATCCGCAGGCACCCCACGAGTCCTGCAACTTTCGGGAGCGCGTTCGCGGCTTTTTCTTTCAGTCGACGTGCCCAACCTACCACTGTGACTTCCACCACTTCCCTCCCGACGAACGCGCCTAAAGCAGTATTCGTCAGTCCAGGAAGATCTTCCGAGGAAGCCCTGAGACGCAATTCGGCGGAATCTTCAAGAACTATCGAAGAGGCCTTGCGGCGTAACCAGCCGGATCCCTCCCTTCCGAGGGACCTGACCCCGCCAGCTCAGAGCGAGATTACGGAGTGGATGCATCCTTCCGTTTCTCCCACTCTCTCGGACCGAATGGAACAAGCTCCAGCTAACCAACCCCGGTCGAGGACGGGTAGCCTGTTCTCTCCCCCTCTCCCTGAAACTACGACTGCGCCTTTCAGCGACGGACTTCAGCAGGCCGTCGCTGGCAACAGCAGCCAGGTTCCAGCCAGCCAGATTCCAGCCTACGGCCCGCATATTGCGAGCCTCCCAGACGAGGAACTGGATACCTTACCCACGCGTACGGAGTACCTCTACGAAGAGTTCAAAAACTCTTCGCAAGAAACTCCGTTAGCATATCGTTGCGGCGAAATCATCGTCCAATCCCTCACTCAATTCGACTTCCTGGACTTGGGAACTGACATCGGTGCAGAAGCTAAACGTTTCCGATTAAGGCAAACGGTGGTAGCCTCCACTCTCGAAGTCATGGAGTTGCTGCAAATTACTCTGGACGAAATGAGCAAGTTAGTGGGAACGAGAAGGATCTACCAAGTCGACCCCAAAGGTGTCATTCGGGACGCTTTGACGAAGGGAAGAGACACCATCAAGGAGATGATGTGGGCCCATCACTTTCTCAAATCGAGACTCGACGGCGGAGTCAGGACAGTCGATAAGCTGTACCTCCGGGATACGGGGTATTCTCCCGCCTCCCCAGCCTCTTCGTCGTCTTCCTTATGGTCGGGGTTCGACGTATTATCGCCGAATTCGCGGTTGAAAGGATTCATGACGAACCCCGCTGTCTTGAGGAGTATACCCGACGACGCGGACTCGAAGAAAGTGGAAGAAGCCTTCGCTGAACCACCCGAAAAGGGAACCGCTAGATTCTGGAACCGCTTGACTGGGAAAATGTCGGTAGTCGGGGCTTCTAGTTACGGCCTAGGCGAGGACTGGGAGCCTCCTGCCAATCACTTTCAAGGGCGTTCCGAACGCAGAACGAGGTCGGGAGGAGGACTGAACGAAGTCCGATTCCAGACAAGTTCAGCGTCCCCCAAGGGAAACACATCCTACTCTTTTCAAGAGGCATCTACTACTCCGCTAGCCTCCTCGCAACATCACCTACCATCCACCACTCCCGCTAGGACACAGTCGACGGGATTTCAGGCGACGAGCACTCCGTTCGCCCCTACGGGAGGAAGAGCCGCCACGTACGACGAATCCTTTTCCTTTTTGAGGCAAACTCCGCCTCACATGGAAAGAACGAGTAACGCCCCTCCAGCTGCAGCAGCTGGCGGAGAGCCATCTAACTACGGTCAGAACTCGTCTTTCCAAGTGGGAGCAGAGGTCGACGCCCGCAACGAATGGACGACGGGCAATAGGACACACAACGCGGGCGATGCCTCTCTAATCCAGTTTTTGGATCAAGGGGATATCCCCGTGAAGGATATAGGTGTCCCTGTGCACAACGTCCTCCCTCCAGTGCAGCGTAGATTTTCAAACAGACCTAGCCTTCCAGGAGGAGGGATAGTCTTCCACCGTGGAGTACGGGCGACGTCAATTTGGGCTTAGCGGCTCAGGCTCCGCTTGCGCGATTCCAAGCGCAAATACCTGAGGGCCAACCTCTCCCGGGAGGCGGCATTGCTCCACCCCCACCTCCGAATCCACCTGGTGGTGGATCTTCGTCAGGTGGAAATTCGCCAGGTGGACCTCCTAGACAACCTTTTGGCGGTCTTCCAGGATTTCCCAACGGTGGAGGAGGGGCTCCAGGAGGAGGATTTTCTGCGCCAGGCGCGGGAGGACCTCCCTTTCCTAATCCACCGGGACCACCAGGAGGTGGAGGAGG